CCCCTGGCACCATGGGGACCCCCCCAGCACTGGCCTCACCCTGCATCGAGGGGCACTCAGTGTGTGGGGACCCCCAGAAACGTGGGGACCCCCATGACACCGCAGGGACACCCCCAGAGCTGCCACGGGGAGCCCCCCGGCGCCAGCCTCACCGTGCAGCGAGGGGCGCTCAGTGTGCATGTGGGGGACGCCCCCGCCGCCATGGGGACCCCCCCGGCACCGGCCTCCCCCTGCGGCGAGGGGCGCTCAGTGTGTGCGTGGGGGACCCCCCCGCCGCCCCGGGCCCCCCCAGCGCCAGCCTCACCGCATGATGGCGCAGACGTCGCCGGCCAGGTTGCGGCGGCACGCGGTCGACGTCAGGTACTCCTGCGGGTTCAGCCGGTACGTGTCGATCATGAAGTTGCGATAGGCCAAGTAGCTGCGCGAGAGGCGCCCCGATGAGCACCCCGGCACCGGGCYGCCCCGGGGGGCCCCGGGCAGCCCCGGGGGCGCGGCGGGACGGGCACCGAGCGGCCTCACATCTCGGGCGTCTTGGATTTGTTCTTGCCGTTGAAGAACTCGGGCAGGGCGCGGCGCTCGATGGCGTGGACGCTGCAGGGGGAAGCGCCGGGTGGGGGGCTCGAGGGCGCCCCGGCCCCCCCGGCCCTGCCGGTGCCACCGCGCGGCGCCGCCAACCTGTTGTAGTCGAACCAGGCGGCGTAGCTGGGGATGATGATGTGGTGGGTCTGCTCGGTGACGTTGTCCTCGTGCAGGTCGGGGTTCTTGGCCTGCTCCCCCTTGCTGCCGGTGCTGTTCTCCTCCTCGTCCTGCGGGACGCGGGCCCTGGGTCCCCGAGTCCCCGCGCGCACGGCGCGCCAAGGGACGGGGTCCCCAGCGCGGCCTCACCTTGCCCGCCGTCTCCATGCTCTCGTCCTCCTGCTCGTCTGCAAGGGGCACGGGAGGCGCTGGGGCGGCGGAGACCGCGGAGCAGCCCCGCTCCGAGGCAGCCTCCGCGGAGGCCCCGAGGCCGCGGCCGCCCGGCACTCACCCAGGTCGGTCATGGTGCCCCCCTTGACGGGCGCAGACTCCGAGTCCTTCTTGGTGTTCACTGCAGCGCGGAGGGAAGGGAGCTGAGCGCCACGGGCAGGGCACACGGGGCGAGGAGGACGAGGAGGAAGAAAGGAAGGAAGAAGAGGAGGAGGGGAGGAAGAGGAGGAAGAGGAGGTGAAGGTAGAGGTGAAGGAGAGGGAGAGGGAGGAAGGAGAAGAAGAAAAGGAGGAGGAAGGGGAGGAGGAGAAGGGGGAAAAGGGGGAGGAAGAGGAAAAGAAGGAAGAGGAGAGAAAAAGAAGAGGAAAGAGGAGAAGGAGAACAGAAGGAAGAGAAGAAAGAAGAAGAGGAGAGGAAAAGGAGGAAGGGGAGAGGGAGGAAGAGGAGAAGGAGGAGGAGGAGAAAGAGCAGAAGGAAGAGGAGAAAGAGGAGGGGAAAGGGGGGAAGGAGGAGGAGGAGAAAGATGAAGAGAAGAAAGGTGCGAAGCAGGAGGAGGAGGAGGAGGAGGAGGAGGAGGAGGAGAAGGGCTCGCTGCTTTGGGGGCCACTGGCCCGGACCTGTTTTGGGCAGGGTGACCTCCTCCACGTTGGGCACGGGCGAGGGCTCGTCCATGTCCTTGGTGAGGTCCTCCTGCTCCTCCTCGCGGTGCCCGCGCTTGGATTTGTTGTAGGGGGTGGAGGGGCTGCGGGCAGCGGGACCCCGTGAGGGCGGCCCGGGGGCGGCGGCGCCGCGGGGCCCCCCGGCCCCTCACCCCTTCTTGGCGTTCTTCTTCTTGGCCTCGGGCGTGGGCGAGGGCGAGCGCTTCCTCTTCTTGTAGTTGCCCCCCTTCTTGTCGCGCCGGTCCGAGTCGGGGCTGTTCACCTGYGCGGGGGACACGGGGGGTCACCCGCGGGGCCGGCGCCGCCGCGGGGGGCACGGGCGGGCGCGGGCACCTCGTCCGTGAGGGTCTTGGCGGAGATCTTCTTCCTGCGCGACACGGGGCTCTTCTCGTCCGACACCTCGTAGTCCTCCTCGTTCATCCACTCGTTGAAGGTGTCCGTGTCCAGGATCCACTTGGCGTGGACCTGCCGGGGCGCCGCATCGGGGTGGCCGGGTTG